TGTCATCCAACCATCTCGTCCTCCGTCACCCCTTCTCCTCCTGCCCTGAATCTTTCCCAGCATCAGGGTCTTTTCCAATGAGTTCACGCTTCACATCATATGGCCCAAGTATTGTAGCTTCAGCTTCAGCATCAGTGCTTCCAATGAATATTCAGGACTGATGTCCTTTAGGATTGACTGGTTTGATCTTCTTGCTATCCAAGGGACTCTCAAGAGTATTCTCTGGCACCACAGTTCAAAAGCATCAATTCTTTGGCACTCAGCTTTCTTTATGGTCTAGCTCTCACATCTGTACATGGCTACTGGAAAAACCATAGCTTGACTATGTGGGCCTCTATTGGCAAAGTGATGACTCTGTTTTTAATATGCTGTCTAGGTTTGTCATAACTTTCCTTCCAAGGAGCAAGTGTCTTAATTTCATGGCTGTGGTCACCATCTGCAGTGATTTTGGGCTGGATGTCCATCACTATAATAGTGTGTATAGGTCTTGATGGTGGAGGGACTTTCAGTAAAGAGCTAATCCCTTCTGCAAACTCTGGATCAGGTGCTAAGCAATGAGTGCATTAATATTACAGGCCTCACTTTGTTTCTTACTCACAACAATCCCTTTTGGATCCAGGCCGTTTAACAGAGGGAAAGTTGAGGCACAAACCCAAGGTCTCCAGATCCACAGCCCACAACTAACTATATCTATATTTCCCCCATCTAGAGTTTTTTCACTTCCTGATTTTTCTCAGTAAAATTTTTCCTTGTTTTGGTGTCTATTAATAGCTAAATGGGCACCATTTGAAATATTGAGTATGGTAAATTACTTAACTCAAATCATTAAAATAAAAATACTAGTCACTTACTTAATTTCACAATTTTATTAATATTTAGTCATTTAATTTAGTCATTTACTTAATTTCAAAATTTTATTAATATTTTTTGACTTAAATTTGCCAAATGACTCCACTTCATTTTTGACAGCACAACTAGTAAATATTGAATATTATAAACAAATAATATGGTACCATTTCTACATTTCATGGAGATGGGTGATTAAAAAGTAGTTATACAAAGTTCAGATGAAGCAGATTCAAAATATTACATGAAAAATCTTTTTGATATGCCATGTATATGTCAAAATTTCTCATATGTTTTGTTTGTATAATTTGCTACAGTTGTTTTTTACATGTAAATTGATCAATCACAATTGTTTTCAATTCTGGATTCTTATTTGAATTTGTTAGTTATATTAAAACAATGGCTTTAAGTTCCCTTTATATGAGCAGTCTTCACTGAACCTCGAGCAGCATGTATCTAAAACCAACACAAACAAGAAGTGAAAACTCCCCAATCCTGTCTGTAAATATGTTCTTGCTTTTAAACCCATCTGAACTGAGAGCTTATCACCAAAATATGCCACAGCACAGCCAGAAGTGAGACACGTGTACTTCAGCTTTTAGACCTTCCACTAAATAGAATTTATATAATAGATCTATTTCTCTCAACTGTAACATTTTGTAACTTTTTTATTATAGCAAAACATACATAATAAAAATACCATTTTAACCATTTTAGGTGACGAGTTCATTGGCATTAAGCGCATACGCCATCCATCCCAGAACTTTTTCATTTCCCCCACTGAAATTACGTACCCTGTGTAACAATCTTTGTGTCGTTGATTTTGCCCTCAGTGTGATGCCTCCTGTAAGAGTCAGGGTTTTAAGAGCAGCTCAACCAACTACTCAACCAGCTTGTTGATAAAATATGAACACCAGCAGCCAAGATTATGGCTATTTAATGAGCCAGCAGAGAACCCATGATGCTGGGAAAAGACCCTGATACAGGGAAAGATTGAAGGCAAAAGGAGAGGAGGGAGGCAGAGGATGAGATTGTTAGATAGCATCATGGACTCAATGGCCATGAACTTGAGCAAACTCTGGGAGATAGTGGAGAATAGGGAAGCTTGGCATGCTTCAGTCCATGGGATTGGAGAGTCAGACATGACTCAGTAACTGAACAACAACAAAAGAACCCATGGATCTCCATAATGACCTGTCAATCAGCACTTTGGATGCCGTTGTCCAACCAGCTGCAAGCTCTCTAATTATCTCCAGCATCTCCTCACAGCTCTCTGCTGCAGTTATAAAAACAGCACATCTTTGTCAAAAGGATCTGCTGAAATCAACCTAACATCCACCTGTGATCTTGGTCCCTGAGATCTGACAGATGTTATCCTGATCTAACAGTCTTGCTTTTTTTTTTAAAGGATGCTTTTGGCAGGACTCTCTCTTCATTATCCTCTGCTGACTCTTAAAGACCATCTTTTTCTGGTAAACACACCTGCAATACTTGTGTGTGTCCAGCATGTTCCTTTGGTTCGTTGAGGGAACCAGTCTAAGTCCACGTTGTAAAACAGCAGGTGTGGTTCAGCCTCATCTACGGAGACAAATTCCCAGCACCTGCCACCTCCTCCAGCACTGGCTGCCCACTGCCTGGCATGGCTTGCCCATCAGTACCCTTCATCACCTGATACCCTCTGTTTGGGCTGCCCATCACTTCCTCCACAACCTGGCGCTGCCTGATAGCTCCTCAGCTGCCCATCAGACCCTTAGAGACCTCCAGATCCTCCCAGGTGCCACATCTTCTGCAATTCTTCTGTGACAGCATTCCTTTATTTCTTAGATTTTTTTTTTGTGCATCATATGGCATGTGGGATCTTAGTTCCCAGACCAGGGATCAGACCCGTGCCCCCTGCAATGGAAGCATTGAGCCGTAACCAGGGAACTCCCTGCGACAGTATTCATTCTGAATTTTCCCATCAACTCAGACTCATCTTTTCTAAACCAAATACATCTGACTTATCTCCATAAAACCCAGAGCTTGCCAGACATCGTTCTAGGCTCTTTACACCCTCATACCAATCTTTTGAGCGCAGTACTATTTATTTCCTCCATTTTCAGATGTGGAATTGATTAGGAGAAGGGGAAGTAACTTGCCCAAGAACTGGGAGACTGTCATTTTTCTTAGCCCAGTGCTCTGTTGGGGCTCCTGAACAAACCCGTTCTTTCTTGGCATCTGTATGAAAAGTCCCTCTTCTTTTCTTACAGCTTCTGAGACATAATTGTTAGCATCACTGATAAGCTGGTGATGTATTGGATGTTCTTATTTAGATAAGTGGGACTTCCATCAAATGCTCACACATCGGAAACCCCCAAGACCATGGCTATACAAAGATACAGATGGTGCTTTCTGGAGACCGGTTAGAGGAGAGTCCCTTTTCATTCTCATTCACGTGACCTTCAGGGAAATTCCTGCCGTTATAATTTTAGATCAAAGACACGAGTACTCTTTATTTGTAAGATGTGAATACTTTCTTTCTAAGTCTACAAATCAAAGCTATGAGGTATCAAAACAATGAGGTATCACCTCACACAAGTCAGAATGGTTTCATCAAATATTCCATAAACAATAAATATTGGAGAGGGTGTGGATAGAAGGGAATCCTCCTACATTGTTGATGGGAATGTAAATTGGTGCAGCCACTTTGGAGAACGGTATGGAGGTTCCTTGAAAAACTAAAAATAGAGCTAACATATGACTCTACCAGAAGGTAGAATGCCAAAGAATTGAAGCCTTCCAACTGTGGTGCTGGAGAAGACTCCTGAAAGTCCCTTGGATTGCAAGGAGATCAAACCAGTCAATCTTAAGGGAGATCAACCCTGAATATCCACTGAAAGGACTGATGATGAAGCTGAAGCTGCGGTATTTTGGTCATCTGATACAAACAGATGACTCATTGGAAAAGTTCCTGATGCGGGGAAAGATTGAGAGTGGAAGGATAAGAGGGCATCAGAGGATGAGATGGCTGGATAGCATCAGTGATGCAATGAACATGAACTTGGGCAAACTCTGAGAGATGGTGATAACAGGGAGGCCTCGAATGCTGCAGTCCATGGAGTTGCAAAGAGTTGGACATGACTGGGTGACTGAACAACAATGACCCTACAATCCCACTTCTGGGCATATGCCTGGAGAAAAACACGGTCCAAAGGGATACATGCACGCCAATATTCATTGCAGTGCTGTTTACAATAGCCAAGAAATGGAAGCAACCTAAATGTCCATCAACAGAGGAATGGATAAAGAAAATGTGTGCACATATACAATGGAATATTACTCAGGCATAAAATGAAATGAAATCGTGCCATTTACAGAAACACGGATGGACCTAGAGACTGTCAGACAGAGTGAAATGAATCAGAAAGAGGAAAATGAATATTGTGCATTAACACATAGAGGTGGAATCTAGAAAATGATATAGGCCATCTTATTTGCAAAGCAGAGATAGACACACAGACACAGAAAACAAATACCAAGGGGGAAGGGTGGGAAGAGCTGAGAGATTGGGATAGACATATATACACTATTGATACTATGTCTAAAATAGATAACTAATGAGAACCTACTGTATCGCTGAGGGCACTCAGTGCCCTGTGGTGACTTAACTGAGAAGGAAATCCACAAAAGAGGGAATACATGCATATAAATGGGCTCCCCTGGTAGCTCAGCTGGTAAAGAATCTGCCTGCAATGCAGGAGACCCCAATTCAATTCCTAGGTCTGTAAGATCTGCTGGAGAAGGGGTAGGCTACCCACTCCTGGCTGATTCACTTTGCTATACAGCAGAAACTAACACAACCTTAAAAAATAAATGCAGAATATTGATTCAAGGGATAATAAGGTCGTATAAAAATAAAAGCATTTATTTTGCTTTTAGAGGTGGGGGAGGAATGCTACCTTAACAAGATATAGAAATCATTAGAGAGATTAAGCATAAATGACACATGCTTTAGGGCTCAAAAACAAAGCTATGATATGTCATTGGGATAAAAAGTTTTGAGGATGTATCTTAGATGAGCTTTATTGAAAAAAGCAGCTTCTCTGCAAACAAAAATCAAGGTGTCACAAAAAGCTTTGTTTTCTTGTTTGTTCTCCCTTATATTCTAGGCCTTTATGTGGATTTGTCCTCTTAGAGGCGCAGACAAATACATGGTCACCACAGTACTCAAATACGTGTCCTTCAATGAGTCCCTGTGGAGCAGAACTAAATGCAGCTGGCTCGTCAGCACCCTCGAAGCAGGTCCTAGCTACAGAGCATCGCTCAGCCAGCAGTTGTTGATTAAAGTATCTCTCCACCTTGGTTCTGCTCGGCTTGGTGCTAACTCCCTGATCTACTTTCCAGGTCCCTGGTTCCTTTTTGCTAATATAAGGTGTTGTTGTTTTTGTTCATTCATTAAGTCATGTCTGACTCTTTGTGACCCCATGGACTGCAACATGCCAGGCCTCCCTGTCCCGCCCTATCTCCCAAAGTTTGCCCAAGTTCATGTCCATTGAGTTGGTGATGCCATCCAATCAACTCATCCTCTGTCACCCTCTTCTCCTTCACTTTCAATCTTTCCCAGCATCAGGGTCTTTTCCAATGAGTCTGTTGTTGGCTTCAAGTTAAATCTAATGAAAAGTTCAACAGCACAGTGAACGGGTGAGCTTGCCCTCCATGCGTGTGGCCCATATGGGTACCAAATGGGGAGAGGTTGACATGGACATTGAACTTCTCTCTGGGGCAGCTGAAGAGAGAGCTGGACAGGTCAAATCTCAGCTGACTTTTCCATGATGTTATCTGTCAATAGCAGGTATATTCCCAGCATGTTCTGAACATGGACGAGCGCTCATAGCATCTCTCTTCCCGAGCGAGCAGTGTGAACACAGCAGCCTCTGCACACTCGCCTTCTCTACTCACCCTGTTTCCTCTGCCCAGGCCTTCAGGACAGAACCAAGCTGCCCTCTACTTCCTTCCTCCCGTAGGCATGAAGTTTTGCATGGATTGATCAGTATTTTTGAGAATCGTAGTGAATACACCATAGCTGCTGACGTTCATCAAGCACTCACCACATCCCACGCTGTTCTGAACACTCTCAGGGAACAGACTCATTTCATGCTCAGCAAGCCTGTGAGGCCAGGCATCACTTGGGCTTGGTCGGGATGATTGTGATGGCAAGGATGGTGTTCTCATGCCCCATCAGCAACCAAGCGCTTCATTCTCCAGAGGCAGCTTTGAAGCCCCGGCACATCTCCAGACCCGTCCCGAGCCAATGCCCACACAGCTGCCTTCACTGATGCCTAGCCTGATTCTGAACAGCCCGTGACCCCCTCATGGGCAGAATCTAACTGGATCCCTCAGGAAGAAAGGTGGACAGTGGGTCTTGGGGCTCTGCCCCTATGGAGCAGGTGAGAACTTGGGGGGTAACGGGCTGCTGAATGTCAACACGTGGGGTCCAGAATTCTGAGGTCCTGCTGTTATCTCCACTGTAAGCAAGTAAACTGAGGCACGCAGAGGTCAACTCACTTGTGTTTTGGGCAGCATTGTTCAGCTCGTGAGGGTCATTCAAGATGCTCCCAACCACCGCAGCTATGTGAACTGTCTGCCAATTGGCATCTGAGCCAGCTGTGCGGCAAAGGCATCAGCGAGCCACCTCGACTGACCCTCAGGGCAGCTGACGAGGGAGACAGCAGAGAGCAGAGGCTGTGGTTGTCCCCCCGGGAAGGGCCAGGAGTGGTACTTGGAGTGACACAGAGGGAGGAGCTGGACCACGTCCTTCTTCCCTCGGGGCTGACCCTACAGAAGGAGGCTGAGCCAAGGTCGTCAGAAAGGTGCATCTGGGTCAGAAGGATGCTTGGCATGAGCCCCAGCAGAAGCTAAGGTGAATCACGGGGCATGTCCAGCAGAGATCTCCTGGCTGGTGGGGGTGGCAGACGTGTGGAGAAGGTTCCTGAGAAAACTAAGAAAGTGGCCAAAAGAGAGCTGGTATTTGAGCATCTGCCGTGATGAAGGGCCACGGACGGCACCAGCTGACTCAGGAGACAGCCTTGGGTCTCCAGCTCACCCTCTTCCTTCCTTCTCAGTCCTGGAGGTCTCAGCGAGGAGGCAATGAGAGGGTGGTCAAAACACAAAGAGACACCCTATAGTTCCCTCGTGGATTTTCAAACCTAAGTCACAGCTGGACTGTGGGAAAATCAATGAGATACTGAAATTTAGAATTAGACTAGACTGAGTTTTTAATATCCAAGATGGAGACCTTACAAATACCTGACATTGATGAGAAAAGCTGTCGATCTGTCTGAGACGTTATCCAACTCTAGTACAGAGACTTAAAAGTAGGAGATCACAGTGGGTTAAAAATAAGACTGTCTCCTGACTATGTCTTTCCCACATTCAGCCCCTTCCAGAAACTGGCATCATCACACGGACATCATCAACCTTGATCCTCATTTTACAGGCAAGAAAACTGAGGATTAGAGCATTAGCTGATTTATTTGATGTGGGGTCATGAACCTCAAACAAACAAACAAACAAACAAACAAAAACCTAGGCAAGCAAACACATGCTACTGGGTTAATATAGTTAAGTTTGATGGAGAAAGGCTGCCTGAGACTGTATGTACTGTTGATTTCTCCTGATAGAGTCTGTTCCTGTCTACATGTTGGACACTTGGCTGTGATATTGCCATAAAATCCTACATTTTATGTAGGAAGCAATTATATCAGCATTTAATAAAAAAACTGGTGTGTAATCGATGAATCATTAATATTCTAGCAAGGCAGCCACTAAGAGGGATATTTGGTAAGGAATCCAAGTTTAAGGTATGATTAATGCTTGAATTTGACATTGATCTATTCAGAAAGGCAAGAAAAGTAGTATTTTATTACTTGACATGAGAAGGGACTCGACTGAAGTGACAGAACTGGGAGATCAATAATCCCTTGGGGATCAATGAGCAGTTAAGGAATAAAAAGAAAGATGGTGAAAATGACAAGTGTGGAAAGATCATTGTTCCAAACTCCATTCCACCCAGGATGATGGCACAAGTCAACAGCCAGTGCACCTGGCATTCTGATGCTTGGAATCCAGCAAACAATGTGGTAAGTAAAGCTCTTTCATTCGCTGAGAATAAAAACATATCCTTAGATTTATAGCATCTGAAGGTTGACTAACTTTTATTTTTATACAACCTTTTTATTCAGAGAATAATAAACATTTATTTTTATTTTAGAGGTGGGGAAGGAATGCTACCTTAACAATACATAGAAATTATTAGAGAGATTAGGCATAATTAACACATTCTTCACAGTTAAAGCTACAACATGTCATTGGGATAAAAAGTTTTGAGGATGTATCTTAGATGAACTTTATTGAAAAAAGCAGATTTTTTCCAAGCAAAAAATCAAGGAATCACAAAAACTTTGTTTTTTTGTTTCTTTTCCCCTATATTCTAGGCTCTTATATGGGTTTGTCCATTTTAGAGACAGACCCAGCTGCAGCAATAATTTGGTTCTGATTCAATTGAAATGTTTGCCTCCAGCTCCTGCGTGTTTATGCCTGCAGGACCCTTGCATCTGCATATGTATTTGGCTGTAAAGTTCATATACACACAATTATTATTATTGTCTTCATTGTTGACACCATGACCACCATCATCTTCACTACACCGTAACTTCCCCCTTCCTCCCAGGATATTTACACTTTTTTCATAATCAAATTAAGTTAATTCTGGAAGTCATATATTTTTACCCCATGGAACATCCTGAATCATTGGGAAAAAAATCTAATGCTGGGAAAGACTGAAGGCAAGAGGAGAAGGGGGCAACAGAGGATGAGATGGTTGGATGGCATCACACTGACTCAATGGGCATGAGTTGTTTGAGCAAACTCAAGAAGATAGTGAAGGACAGGGAAGCCTGGCGTGCTGCAGTTCATGGGGTCATAAACAGGTGGACATGACTTAACGACTGAATAATGAACAACAACATGCCTACAACCTCTAAGCACAGCCACCACAAAAAAGTTCTATAAAGCCCACAGATTAAATTTACAAGAAAATACAATATAGTATAATAAAATTGCATGGATTGGAACTCTTTTATAAAGGAAATATATGAATGATAGTGTGGAATAATAGAGTGAAAAACTGAATATTAGCTTCAAAATACCATTGTGTTCCTTTTTTAAATCTAGCTTTGTATATTTGAATCCATCTGTCTACTAAAAAGATAAAAGGCTCATGTCTTTGGGCAAAATTTTCTAAATTGGAGTAAAATTTAACTAATTACTATTAAATAAATGTGTACCAATGATTCATAGTTCTGCACTTCAGGCCATTAAGAAAGATTTAAGGCAGGTCAAAATGGCACTTTTCATGCCTCTAACCCACAGCATTACACAGTGATCATAAAACACTAGTTGTACCGTCAGCGGGGATATGGTCCCTCCTGGCCTGAGACCCTGGAGAGCTCTGGCAAGTGATGCTAGTGAAAGATCGAGGCTGATTCAAATTTCTTTACACTTTGACAAAAGATCACAAACAAAAATGGCGGCACAGAAGTTATTTTCCAAGGTAAAACATGAAGATTTGTTAGACTATCCAGAGGGCACATGACTTGCTCCAGTACAGTAATGACATAGATGTAAAAAACACAAGGGAAGGAACAGAATAGAGCCAGGTGTACTTGCCATTCAACGTTTACTATTTGATAGAACAGTTATTTTGTGGCTTATGGGTTTTAGTGCACTTTGCTTCCAAATCAAATAGAAGCTGTTTTCAATTCTTCACACAATCCTTTTCTCCTTTACCAAGACAGACCACTTAAAGATAGAGTGGGTGGCTGACCTGAAATGAATGGGGTCACAAGTAAGGTATATGGTGATGATTCTGGAGTCATTATCAGGACAATAAAATGCTAATGCACATTACTTTCAAGATATATTTAAGAACGTAATTACTTGGCAATGGTGAGTTATAAGGTAATTGTTGTGATCAGTTTAGATAGGAACAGGGTAAAAATCTTTGATGTTAATATTACATCATTCAGGAGCTTAAAATATCTCCTGAAATCATTTAAAATAAAACTAAATAACCTTAATTACATGTTCACATATTAATACTTTGAACTAAATATTTCCAGATGTGAAAATCATTAATAATGAATACATCTCTTCAAATAATAATTTTATTTATTATGTTAAAATATTTAATTAATTAATTTGGCTGCACCGGGTCTTCGTTGTGACATGTGGGATCTTTAGTTGCTGCATGTGGGATCTAGTTCCCTTGAAGGGGGAAACAGACAGAACAGGCTCCATCTTGAAAGCAGGACTCCATCTTGGGCTGGACTGTGGACTTTGAGCTATATCCTTGGTATCTATTGAAACAACATACCAACTGGAAAACCAGGCCCCCAGAAGGAAGAGCCCCAGGGCTTGTACCTAGACGCTCTGGTGCCTATAAGAATACCCTAATTATCTGTGTAACCAAATAGAATCATAGATTCTATTATGCTTATTGGGGTATGACTATAGGCCTATTGATAATTGTCCACTGCTAACGACCTAGGCTTAAGGCATATGAATCACCGGTTAACTTTGATTGTATCTTTCTTTTCCTTTGTTTAGACTAGTTTCAGGGAATTTACAGAGAAGGCAATGGCAACCCACTCCAGTACTCTTTCCTGGAAAATCCCATGGACAGAGGAGCCTGATAGCCTGCGGTCCATGCGATCGCTAGGAGTCAGACACAGCTGAGTGTCTTCACCTTCACTTTTCACTTTCATGCATTGGAGAAGGAAATGGTAACCCACCCCAGTGTTCTTGCCTGGAGAATCCCAGGGACAGAGGAGCCTGGTGGGCTGCCGTCTATAGGGTCGCACAGAATTGGACACGACTGAAGTGACTTAGCAGCAGCAGCAGCAGGGAATTTGGGTTTGGGCACAGACACTTCAGGTATATAAGGTTTTCACAAAAACTGATCGGGGTCCTCTGCCTTGGGCCTGCCGCTGTAATAAACTGCACTCTACTATCTACATTATCCTTCTGAGTAAGTTTGTTTCCCAGAACATGTGGCTACAACACCCTGAGCAGGGATCAAACCCCAGATCTCATGCATTAGGAGCATGGAGTCTAAGCCACTGGGCCATCAGGGAAGACCCACAGATAGGATTTTAAACTTCCATTATGACACATCAAAACCTTCAACCTTGGATTTATAGAGCACCAATATTTTAAACATAACAAGCTTACTATCCAACTTCCTTTAAATATGAACTCTGTCTGTTGGCCATTAAAAAAAAAAACTCTCTTAACTATGAAAATTGATGTCCAAAGTAATGACCATGAAGCTGAATAACCAGAGAAAACTGGTTCAGTTTGACTTTGAGGGCTTTGACCTGATTTCTGGATTCTTCTCCCAGGATGGTTAGTGTCTGTGAGTGTGTGTGTGTGTGTGTGTGTGTGTGTGTGTGTGTGTGTGTGTTTCTTTCACTCAGAACTTAAGCACCTTTTCCTTCCCCAAAAAAGTTCTGCTTTTAAACCAATAAGAGCATATGCTTAAGGGGGTGTGCAGGTGTAGCTGAGATCTATTAATATTTGCAGGCAGAAGTTCAAATCCCAGAAATGAAATACCACTGAAGAAATTCCAGGCACCACTGAATTGCTGGGAAAAGATTTGTTCTTGCATCTCTGAAGCCATGTTACAGAAACTGCTGTTCCAAGTTGGAAGTGTCCTTGGAATCATACAGACCAAATTGTATTCAAATGGTTTGGACATAGGGTGTTTTGGTGCAGTTTCTTGCATATAAAGGGCTTCCTGCATAGCTCAGTC